TAGGGGAGCTTTTCCCAAAATGAAGAGTGCTGCAGCTCACTTTAAAAACCAGAAAATAAATCCCAATACATTGTATTGGATACATCTTGGATATAGCAAAGCATTAAGTAGCTTCAGTTCAGAAGAAAAAACAAAACAAAACATGACGTTTTGCTGCAGCAGTATAAAGCATCTGTCTGAATAATTTCACTGAACAGATCGGTCACCTGGTTTATCAACATCACAGATTAGCAGGAACAACAAAAGTACAAATGAGCCATGAGTCTAGTGATATTACATCTGCATTATAATTTGCAGATCACAGTGGCTCTATAAAGGCAAAATGTTTGAAACAATGGTGTCGCATCACAACAACAAGAATAGCAACTGTTTGTGATTGGGAAAACAGGTTTAACCCAGAGATAACTGGCAGTTAAAGTCCACCTTAAGATTTCATATTGCGGTAGATTCTTTTCTCACACTAGGTGGTGCTACACATGCCATAAAAATTATAACATTTTAAATATAGTTTCACAAACTGTTAAATGTTGGAAGGTTTTCAGAGCAGGCCTCCATGGTGTAAATTATCCTTAATAGATTAACCTTAAATTAACTTTAATGTAGTGTTTCACGTCGACTTTATTAAAAATATTTATACACACACACATGTTAAAGAGATTAACTGCATTTTATCAATCTGTGTAACAGTGTAAAGAAATCAAAGAGATAACGATTCTTTAATTATGCCAGTATACTGGGGTATTTTAAAACCTTTCATTTTTCATTATAACTTCAATCCTTTTATTGTTTCTCTCCTGATTGCAGCTGGAGCCCTTGAGTGTCAAACCTGCACAGATCAGACGTGTTCAAGCACAGCACTACTTCCATGTTCTTCAGAGACCATGTGTGTTACAGCTACTATTTTAGGTAATCTTCTCTTCATATTATGAAATTTCCCCTTGTGGGACTAAAGGTATATCAAATCAAATATTATGTAATAAACTTCAGTAAATTTCAATGACTTTGAAATTATGTGTACTTTCCATCAACATTAACAAAATACACTTTGAATTTGCAGCTACTTCATCTGGAACTACGGCAACACAAATCTACAAGGCATGTGCATCTTCCTCCCTGTGTCCAGTTACGAGCTCTCAGATATTTTCAATTAACATGGGTGTTCAAAGTGCTCTTGCATCTGCCACGTGCTGCAACACAGATAACTGCAACTCACAAACTCTGGATGGTAAGTACAAATCTATAAGTGTTTTATTAAAGATGCAATAAGAAACAATATTCTGATATTTGCTGAAATGTTCTCAGTTCTGAAATGAAATGATGCTCTTTTCTTTTACAGCTCCTGCTCCTCAGTCAAGTAATGGCCGACTATGTAACATTTGTTCCACCCCTCTGTGCGACACTCCAATACAGTGTCAGGGAGTGGAGGACCAATGCTTTCAATCAATGAGTGAGTCTTCATCATATATACTTTAACAAAGATCATCTTTAAATTGGCTTTTATACCTAAAATAAATTCAAAACATATTCTTTTTTAAAAAAATTAGTCAGTGGCAACATTATGAAGCATTTCATCAGTATGTGTAAGACATTTTATTTTGTACCTTAAATCTTTGAAGATGAAGGTCAGGATTTGATAATTAGTTCATGAAATTATATATATGTATTAGTTAACAAGTATTCCCCGCATGAAAATAGAACACCCAGTGTAGGTACACTATTCACTAAAAGGGAATCACAGTGGCTTCTGAAATTGTAACTACATGTTTTCATAAACGTGAAAGTCACTATAAAAATTGACTGAAAATCAGGCTCTGTTCTTCTCTCTGATTAAAAAATGTTTACCAGTGGCATTAGAAATGTTAAACAAACAACTACACCCTTTAGTGGTGTTCTCGGGTCACTGCAGTGAGATTTTGAGTTTCAGCAAACAGAACACAAACAGATTTTAGATTACTCTTTATGTGAAAGATATTGAAGATAGGTACAAAGCATTTCCCTAACCATTTGCAAACCAATAATGATGGTCAATGCCCACAAATCTACAGTTGATCTACAGTGTAGCTTCATGATTTTCTTTTGACTGAAAAATAATAAGAAGCTCTAAATAAAATGTAACAGAATATATTTATTAATAATTGCTGTGACAGGAGTGTTAGTGCATAAAAAAGGAAACCATTTTAATTATAATACTCTGAGTACATGTTTGGATTGTCACAGGCAACTACACAGGCATGTTTGTCTTCTTATACATTTTTTGGTTAGAATTCACATGTCAACATGAAAGATTCTGAACATCAAATTAACCTCATGCATTATAAGTGTTGCGCACAACAGTTAGAGAGCACAAAAAAGGCTAACTGTAAAACTGCTGTCTGAGTTTCAAGTTTTATTGTCATGTACATATAAACAGTGTAGCCACATTTACCTGTAGTGAAATTCTTTGGCTCGTGCTCCTCAGCTTTATATGAACATATATAAGTCTGCAGTTATATTTTAAAAGAAAATAACCACAACAACAGCAATAATAATAATAATGATAATCATAAAGATAACAAATAACAAAAAACTAAAGTATTAATATTAACAGAATTTGAGACAGTTGTTCAGAATTTACAGTTTCAACAGTATAGGATAAGTTAGAGGGTATGTAAGTTTAGGCTTTTTGAGACTAGGTGGGGGTCAACAGAGGCTATAAAAGCTTTGGGTAACGCTCCACCATTTTGAGATTTGCTGTGCCCCTCTGCATGCATGTCTCCCCATCCGGATGGTTTGTGCTCATGTTGAATTGTATGGAATAAAACATTGTTGATTGAACATTTATACACCAAGTATTGTCCTTCCTTCAGCCCAAAGAATAAAAGAATTGGGAGGATTTAACACTGGATATCAGAAAAATTATTTTTAAGATGTCTTAACTAATGCTTTAAATATGATATGTAATGACATCATGACAAACATTTTTCATCTGCAGTGACCGACAGCACCAGCACTTTCCCAGCTTACGGATGTGCATCTACAAACCTGTGTGCAGCTGCCTCAAGCTTGAAATCTCTACCTTTCATGAAGAGCATTGGTACGATAACAACAGGACCAACCTGTAATTCACCCTCGACCACTCCAGCACCAACCACAACCACCGCTGCTCCAACCACAACTACAGTGGCAACAACCACAACAACAACAGCTGCTCCAACCACAACAACAGTTGCTCCAACCACAACAACTGCTGCTCCAACCACAACAACTGCTGCTCCAACCACTACAACTGCAGCTCCAATAACAACCACAGCTGCTCCAACCACAACCACAGCTGCTCCAACCACTACAACTGCCGCTCCGACCACAACAACTGCTGCTCCAACCACAACCACCGCTGCTCCAACCACAACTACAGTGGCAACAACCACAACAACAACAGCTGCTCCAACCACAACAACAGCCGCTCCAACCACAACAACTGCCGCTCCAACCACAACAACTGCAGCTCCAACCATAACAACTGCAGCTCCAACCACAACAACAGCCGCTCCAACCACAACAACTGCTTCTCCAACCACAACAACTGCTTCTCCAACCACAACAACTGCCGCTCCAACAACAACCACAGCCGCTCCAACCACAACTGCTGCTCCAACAACAACAACAGCTGCTGCAACCACTACAACTGCTGCTCCAACCACAACCACAGCTGCCCCAACAACAACAATTGCTGCTCCAACCACAACAACAGCCGCTCCAACCACAACAACTGCCGCTCCAACCACAACAACAGTTGATTCAACCAGTATAACTGCGGCACCAACCACAACAACTGCCGCTCCAACAACAACAACAGCTGCTCCAACCACAACAACAGCCGCTCCAACCACAACAACTGCCGCTCCAACCACAACAACTGCTGCCCCAACAACAACAATTGCTGCTCCAACCACAACAACAGTTCCTCCAACCACAACAACAGCCGCTCCAACCACAACAACTGCTTCTCCAACAACAACAACAACAGCCGCTCCAACCACAACAACTGCCGCTCCAACAACAACGACAGTTGCTCCAACCACAACAACTGCTGCTACAACAACAACAACAACAACAACTGCTGCTCCAACCACAACCACAGCTGCTCAAACCACAACCACAGCTGCTCCAACCACAACAACAGCTACTCCAACCACAACAACTGCTGCTCCAACCACAACCACAGCTGCTCCAACCACTACAACTGCTGCTCCAACAACAACAACTGCTGCTCCAACCACAACCACAGCTGCTCCAACCACAACAACAGTGGCAACAACCACAACAACAACAGCTGCTCCAACCACAACAACAGCTGCTCCAACCACAACAACTGCCGCTCCAACCACAACAACTGCTACTCCGATCACAACAACTGCCGCTCCAACCACAACAACAGCCGCTCCAACCACAACAACTGCTTCTCCAACCACAACAACTGCCGCTCCAACAACAACCACAGCCGCTCCAACCACAACTGCTGCTCCAACAACAACAACAGCTGCTGCAACCACTACAACTGCTGCTCCAACCACAACAACAGCTGCCCCAACAACAACAATTGCTGCTCCAACCACAACAACAGCCGCTCCGACCACAACAACTGCCGCTCCAACCACAACAACAGTTGCTCCAACACCTACAACTGCCACTCCAACCACAACAACTGTCGCTCCAACAACAACAACAGCTGCTCCAACCACAACAACAGCCGCTCCAACCACAACAACTGCCGCTCCAACCACAACCACAGCTGCCCCAACAACAACAATTGCAGCTCCAACCACAACAACAGTTCCTCCAACCACAACAACAGCCGCTCCAACCACAACAACTACTGCTCCAACAACAACAACAGCCGCTCCAACCACAACAACTGCCGCTCCAACAACAACGACAGTTGCTCCAACCACAACAACTGCTGCTACAACAACAGCAACAACAACTGCTGCTCCAACAACAACCACAGCTGCTCCAACCACAACAACAGCTGCTCCAACCACAACAACAGCTACTCCAACCACAACCACGGCTGCTCCAACCACAACAACTGCAGCTGCAACCACAACAACTGCAGCTCCAACTACAACAACAGCTGCTCCAACAACTACAACTGCCGCTCCAACCACAACAACAGCCGCTCCAACCACAACAACTGCCGCTCCAACCACAACAACTGCTTCTCCAACCACAACAACATCCGCTCCAACAACAACAACTGCTGCTCCAACCACAACAACAGCCGCTCCAACCACAACAACTGCCGCTCCAACCACAACAACTGCAGCACAAACCACAACAACTGCCGCTCCAACCACAACAACAGTTGATTCAACCACTATAACTGCGGCACCAACCACAACAACTACCGCTCCAACAACAACAACAGCTGCTCCAACCACAACAACAGTTGCTCCAACCACAACAACTGTTGCTCCAACAACTACAACTGCCGCTCCAACCACAACAACTGCCGCTCCAACCACAACAACTGCCGCTCCAACCACAACAACAGCCGCTCCAACCACAACAACTGCCGCTCCAACCACAACAACTGCCGCGCCAACAACAACCACAGCCGCTCCAACCACAACTACTGCTCCAACCACAACAACCACAGCTGCTCCAACCACAACCACAGCTGCTCCAACAACAACCACAGCTGCTCCAACCACAACAACCACAGCTGCTGCTCCAACCACAACAACAGCTGCTCCAACCACAACAACTGCGGCACCAACCACAACAACCACAGCTGCTCCAACCACAACAACCACAGCTGCTCCCACAACAACCACAGCTGCTCCAACCACAACAACCACAGCTGCTCCAACCACAACAACCACAGCTGCTGCTCCAACCACAACAACAGCTGCTCCAACCACAACAACTGCGGCACCAACCACAACAACTGCCGCTCCAACAACAACAACTGCCGCTCCAACAACAACCACAGCTGCTCCAAGTACAACAACAGCCGCTCTAACAACAACAACAGTTGCTCCAACCACAACAACAGCCGCTCCAACCACAACAACAGCCGCTCCAACCACAACAACTGCCGCTCCAACCACAACAACCACAGCTGCTCCAACCACAACAACAGCTGCTCCAACCATAACAACTGCCGCTCCAACCACAACAACAGCTGCTCCAACCACAACAACAGCTGCTCCGACCACAACCACTGCGGCACCAACCACAACAACCGCTGCTACAACAACAACAACAGTTGCTCCAACCACAACATCTGCTGCTCCAACAACAACAACTGCTCCAACCACAACAACTGCGGCACCAACAACAACAACTGCTGCTCCAACCACAACAACAGTTGCTCCAACCACAACAACAGTTGCTCCAACAACAACAACTGCTGCTCCAACAACAACAACTGCTCCAACCACAACAACAGCTGCTCCAACCACAACAACTGCGGCACCAACCACAACAACTGCTGCTCCAACCACAACAACAGTTGCTCCAACCACAACTGCTGCTCCAACAACAACAACAGCCGCTCCAACCACAACAACAGCCGCTCCAACCACAACAACTGCGGCACCAACCACAACAACTGCCGCTCCAACCACAACAACTGCCGCTCCAACCACAACAACAGCTGCTCCAACCACAACAACTGCGGCACAAACCACAACAACTGCCGCTCCAACCACAACAACAGCCGCTCCAACCACAACAACAGCCGCTCCAACCACAACAACTGCCGCTCCAACCACAACAACTGCCGCGCCAACAACAACCACAGCCGCTCCAACCACAACTACTGCTCCAACCACAACAACCACAGCTGCTCCAACCACAACAACCACAGCTGCTGCTCCAACCACAACAACAGCTGCTCCAACCACAACAACTGCGGCACCAACCACAACAACCACAGCTGCTCCAACCACAACAACCACAGCTGCTCCCACAACAACCACAGCTGCTCCAACCACAACAACCACAGCTGCTCCCACAACAACCACAGCTGCTCCAACCACAACAACCACAGCTGCTCCAACCACAACAACCACAGCTGCTGCTCCAACCACAACAACAGCTGCTCCAACCACAACAACTGCGGCACCAACCACAACAACTGCCGCTCCAACAACAACAACTGCCGCTCCAACAACAACCACAGCTGCTCCAAGTACAACAACAGCCGCTCTAACAACAACAACAGTTGCTCCAACCACAACAACAGCCGCTCCAACCACAACAACAGCCGCTCCAACCACAACAACTGCCGCTCCAACCACAACAACCACAGCTGCTCCAACCACAACAACAGCTGCTCCAACCATAACAACTGCCGCTCCAACCACAACAACAGCTGCTCCAACCACAACAACAGCTGCTCCGACCACAACCACTGCGGCACCAACCACAACAACCGCTGCTACAACAACAACAACAGTTGCTCCAACCACAACATCTGCTGCTCCAACAACAACAACTGCTCCAACCACAACAACTGCGGCACCAACAACAACAACTGCTGCTCCAACCACAACAACAGTTGCTCCAACCACAACAACAGTTGCTCCAACAACAACAACTGCTGCTCCAACAACAACAACTGCTCCAACCACAACAACAGCTGCTCCAACCACAACAACTGCGGCACCAACCACAACAACTGCTGCTCCAACCACAACAACAGTTGCTCCAACCACAACTGCTGCTCCAACAACAACAACAGCCGCTCCAACCACAACAACAGCCGCTCCAACCACAACAACTGCGGCACCAACCACAACAACTGCCGCTCCAACCACAACAACTGCCGCTCCAACCACAACAACAGCTGCTCCAACCACAACAACTGCGGCACAAACCACAACAACTGCCGCTCCAACCACAACAACAGCCGCTCCAACCACAACAACTGCCGCTCCAACCACAACAACTGCCGCTCCAACAACAACAACTGCCGCTCCAACAACAACAACTGCCGCTCCAACCACAACAACAGCCGCTCCAACCACAACAACTGCCGCTCCAACAACAACAACTGCCGCTCCAACCACAACAACAGCCGCTCCAACCACAACAACTGCCGCTCCAACCACAACAACAGCTGCTCCAACCACAACAACTGCGGCACCAACCACAACAACTGTCGCTCCAACCACAACAACTGCCACTCCAACCACAACAACCACAGCTGCTCCCACAACAACCACAGCTGCTCCCACAACAACCACAGCTGCTCCAACCACAACAACTGCGGCACCAACCACAACAACTGCCGCTCCAACAACAACAACTGCCGCTCCAACAACAACCACAGCTGCTCCAAGTACAACAACAGCCGCTCTAAAAACAACAACAGTTGCTCCAACCACAACAACAGCCGCTCCAACCACAATAACAGCCGCTCCAACCACAACAACTGCCGCTCCAACCACAACAACCACAGCTGCTCCAACCACAACAACAGCTGCTCCAACCATAACAACTGCCGCTCCAACCACAACAACAGCTGCTCCAACCACAACAACAGCTGCTCCGACCACAACCACTGCGGCACCAACCACAACAACCGCTGCTACAACAACAACAACAGTTGCTCCAACCACAACATCTGCTGCTCCAACAACAACAACTGCTCCAACCACAACAACAGCTGCTCCAACCACAACAACTGCGGCACCAACCACAACAACTGCTGCTCCAACCACAACAACAGTTGCTCCAACCACAACAACAGTTGCTCCAACAACAACAACTGCTGCTCCAACAACAACAACTGCTCCAACCAAAACAACAGCTGCTCCAACCACAACAACTGCGGCACCAACCACAACAACTGCCGCTCCAACCACAACAACTGCCGCTCCAACCACAACAACAGCTGCTCCAACCACAACAACTGCGGCACAAACCACAACAACTACCGCTCCAACCACAACAACTGCGGCACCAACCACAACAACTGCCGCTCCAACAACAACAACTGCCGCTCCAACCACAACAACAGCCGCTCCAACCACAACAACTGCCGCTCCAACCACAACAACTGCCGCTCCAACAACAACAACTGCCGCTCCAACAACAACAACTGCCGCTCCAACCACAACAACTGCCGCTCCAACAACAACAACTGCCGCTCCAACCACAACAACAGCCGCTCCAACCACAACAACTGCCGCTCCAACCACAACAACAGCTGCACCAACCAAAACAACTGCCGCTCCAACAACAACAACTGCCACTCCAACCACAACAACCACAGCTGCTCCAACCACAACAACCACAGCTGCTCCACAACAACCACAGCTGCTCCAACCACAACAACCACAGCTGCTCCAACCACAACAACCACAGCTGCTGCTCCAACCACAACAACAGCTGCTCCAACCACAACAACAGCTGCTCCAACCACAACAACTGCGGCACCAACCACAACAACTGCCGCTCCAACAACAACAACTGCCGCTCCAACCACAACAACAGCCGCTCCAACCACAACAACTGCCGCTCCAACCACAACAACAGCTGCTCCAACCACAACCACTGCGGCACCAACCACAACAACCGCTGATACAACAACAACAACAGTTGCTCCAACCACAACTTCTGCTGCTCCAACAACAACAACTGCTCCAACCACAACAACAGCTGCTCCAACCACAACAACTGCGGCACCAACCACAACAACTGCTGCTCCAACCACAACAACAGTTGCTCCAACCACAACAACAGTTGCTCCAACAACAACAACACTGCTGCTCCAACCACAACAACTGCTCCAACCACAACAACAGCTGCTCCAACCACAACAACAGTTGCACCAACCACAACAACTGCTGCTCCAACCACAACAACAGTTGCTCCAACCACAACAACAGTTGCTCCAACAACAACAACTGCTGCTCCAACAAAAACAACTGCTCCAACCACAACAACAGCTGCTCCAACCACAACAACTGCGGCACCAACCACAACAACTGCCGCTCCAACCACAACAACAGTTGCTCCAACCACAACTGCTGCTCCAACAACAACAACAGCCGCTCCAACCACAACAACAGCCGCTCCAACCACAACAACAGCCGCTCCAACAACAACAACTGCCGCTCCAACCACAACAACAGCTGCTCCAACCACAACAACTGCGGCACAAACCACAACAACTACCGCTCCAACCACAACAAGTGCCGCTCCAACCACAACAACAGCTGCTCCAACCACAACAACAGCCGCTCCAACCACAACAACTGCCGCTCCAACCACAACAACTGCGGCACCAACCACAACAACTGCCGCTCCAACAACAACCACAGCTGCTCCAACAACAACAACTGCCGCTCCAACAACAACAACTGCGGCTCCAACCACAACAACAGCCGCTCCAACCACAACAACAGCCGCTCCAACCACAACAACTGCGGCTCCAACCACAACAATTGCTGCTCCAACCACAACAACAGTTGCACCAACCACAACAACTGCCGCTCCAACAACAACAACTGCCACTGCAACCACAACCACAGCTGCTCCAACCACAACAACCACAGCTGCTCCCACAACAACCACAGCTGCTCCAACCACAACAACCACAGCTGCTCCAACCACAACAACAGCTGCTCCAACCACAACAACAGCCGCTCCAACCACAACAACAGCTGCTCCAACAACAACCACAGCTGCTCCAAGTACAACAACAGCCGCTCCAACAACAACAACTGCCGCTCCAACCACAACAACTGCGGCACCAACTACAACAACTGCCGCTCCAACAACAACAACTGCCGCTCCAACCACAACAACAGCCGCTCCAACCACAACAACTGCCGCTCCAACCACAACAACTGCCGCTCCAACAACAACAACTGCCGCTCCAACCACAACAACCACAGCTGCTGCTCCAACCACAACAACTGCAGCTCCAACCACAACAACAGCTGCTCCAACCACAACAACTGCGGCACCAACCACAACAACTGCCGCTCCAACAACAACAACTGCGGCTCCAACAACAACCACAGCTGCTCCAAGTACAACAACAGCCGCTCTAACAACAACAACAGTTGCTCCAACCACAACAACAGCTGCTCCAACCACAACAACTGCCGCTCCAACCACAACAACAGCTGCTCCAACCACAACAACAGCTGCTCCGACCACAACCACTGCGGCATCAACCACAACAACCGCTGCTACAACAACAACAACAGTTGCTCCAACCACAACATCTGCTGCTCCAACCACAACAACAACTGCTCCAACCACAACAACAGCTCCTCCAACCACGACAACTGCGGCACCCACCACAACAACTGCTGCTCCAACCACAACAACAGTTGCTCCAACCACAACAACAGTTGCTCCAACCACAACATCTGCTGCTCCAACAACAACAACTGCTCCAACCACAACAACAGCTGCTCCAACCACAACAACTGCGGCACCAACCACAACAACTGCTGCTCCAACCACAACAACAGTTGCTCCAACCACAACAACAGTTGCTCCAACCACAACATCTGCTGCTCCAACAACAACAACTGCTCCAACCACAACAACAGCTGCTCCAACCACAACAACTGCGGCACCAACCACAACAACTGCCGCTCCAACAACAACAACTGCCGCTCCAACCACAACAACAGCTGCTCCAACCACAACAACTGCGGCACAAACCACAACAACTACCGCTCCAACCACAACAACAGCTGCTCCAACCACAACAACTGCGGCACCAACCACAACAACTGCTGCTCCAACCACAACAACAGTTGCTCCAACCACAACTGCCGCTCCAACAACAACAACAGCCGCTCCAACCACAACAACTGCCGCTCCAACCACAACAACAGACGCTCCAACCACAACAACAGCCGCTCCAACCACAACAACTGCGGCACCAACCACAACAACTGCCGCTCCAACAACAACAACTGCCACTCCAACCACAACAACCGCCGCTCCAACCACAACAACCGCCGCTCCAACCACAACAACTGCAGCTCCAACCACAACAACTGCCGCTCCAACCACAACAACTGCCGCTCCAACAACAACAACTGTCGCTCCAACCACAACAACTGCCGCTCCAACAACAACAACTGTAGCTCCAACCACAACAACTGCGGCACCAACCACAACAACTGCTGCTCCAACCACAACAACAGTTGCTCCAACCACAACTGCTGCTCCAACAACAACAACAGCCGCTCCAACCACAACAACCGCTGCTACAACAACAACAACAGTTGCTCCAACCACAACAACAGCCGCTCCAACCACAACAACAGCCGCTCCAACCACAACAACAGTTGCTCCAACCACAACAACAGCCGCTCCAACCACAACAACAGCCGCTCCAACCACAACAACTGCGGCACCAACCACAACAACTGCTGCTCCAACCACAACAACAGTTGCTCCAACCACAACTGCTGCTCCAACAACAACAACAGCCGCTCCAACCACAACAACAGCCGCTCCAACCACAACAACTGCGGCACCAACCACAACAACTGCCGCTCCAACAACAACAACTGCCGCTCCAACCACAACAACAGCCGCTCCAACAACAACAACTGTCGGTCCAACCACAACAACAGCTGCTCCGACCACAACCACTGCGGCACCAACCACAACAACCGCTGCTACAACAACAACAACAGTTGCTCCAACCACAACATCTGCTGCTCCAACAACAACAACTGCTCCAACCACAACAACAGCTGCTCCAACCACAACAACTGCGGCACCAACCACAACAACTGCTGCTCTAACCACAACAACAGTTGCTCCAACCACAACTGCTGCTGCTCCAACCACAAAAACAACTGCTCCAACCACAACAACAGCTCCTCCAACCACGACAACTGCAGCACCAACCACAACAACTGCTGCTCCAACCACAACAACAGTTGCTCCAACCACAACAACAGTTGCTCCAACCACAACATCTGCTGCTCCAACAACAACAACTGCTCCAACCACAACAACAGCTGCTCCAACCACAACAACTGCGGTACCAACCACAACAACTGCTGCTCCAACCACAACAACAGTTGCTCCAACCACAACTGCTGCTCCAACAACAACAACAGCCGCTCCAACCACAACAACAGCCGCTCCAACCACAACAACTGCGGCACCAACCACAACAACTGCCGCTCCAACAACAACAACTGCCGCTCCAACCACAACAACAGCTGCTCCAACCACAACAACTGCGGCACAAACCACAACAACTACCGCTCCAACCACAACAACAGCTGCTCCAACCACAACAACTGCGGCACCAACCACAACAACTGCTGCTCCAACCACAACAACAGTTGCTCCAACCACAACTGCCGCTCCAACAACAACAACAGCCGCTCCAACCACAACAACTGCCGCTCCAACCACAACAACAGACGCTCCAACCACAACAACAGCCGCTCCAACCACAACAACTGCGGCACCAACCACAACAACTGCCGCTCCAACAACAACAACTGCCACTCCAACCACAACAACCGCCGCTCCAACCACAACAACCGCCGCTCCAACCACAACAACTGCAGCTCCAACCACAACAACTGCCGCTCCAACCACAACAACTGCCGCTCCAACAACAACAACTGTCGCTCCAACCACAACAACTGCTGCTCCAACAACAACAACTGTAGCTCCAACCACAACAACTGCGGCACCAACCACAACAACTGCTGCTCCAACCACAACAACAGTTGCTCCAACCACAACTGCTGCTCCAACAACAACAACAGCCGCTCCAACCACAACAACCGCTGCTACAACAACAACAACAGTTGCTCCAACCACAACAACTGCCGCTCCAACCACAACAACAGCCGCTCCAACCACAACAACAGTTGCTCCAACCACAACAACAGCCGCTCCAACCACAACAACAGCCGCTCCAACCACAACAACTGCGGCACCAACCACAACAACTGCTGCTCCAACCACAACAACAGTTGCTCCAACCACAACTGCTGCTCCAACAACAACAACAGCCGCTCCAACCACAACAACAGCCGCTCCAACCACAACAACTGCGGCACCAACCACAACAACTGCCGCTCCAACAACAACAACTGCCGCTCCAACCACAACAACAGCCGCTCCAACAACAACAACTGTCGCTCCAACCACAACAACAGCTGCTCCGACCACAACCACTGCGGCACCAACCACAACAACCGCTGCTACAACAACAACAACAGTTGCTCCAACCACAACATCTGCTGCTCCAACAACAACAACTGCTCCAACCACAACAACAGCTGCTCCAACCACAACAACTGCGGCACCAACCACAACAACTGCTGCTCTAACCACAACAACAGTTGCTCCAACCACAACTGCTGCTCCAACAACAACAACAGCCGCTCCAACCACAACAACAGCCGCTCCAACCACAACAACTGCGGCACCAACCACAACAACCGCTGCTACAACAACAACAACAGTTGCTCCAACCACAACATCTGCTGCTCCAACAACAACAACTGCTCCAACCACAACAACAGCTGCTCCAACCACAACAACTGCGGCACCAACCACAACAACTGCTGCTCTAACCACAACAACAGTTGCTCCAACCACAACTGCTGCTCCAACAACAACAACAGCCGCTCCAACCACAACAACAGCCGCTCCAACCACAACAACTGCGGCACCAACCACAACAACTGCCGCCCCAACAACAACAACTGCCGCTCCAACCACAACAACAGCTGCTCCAACCACAACAACTGCGGCACAAACCACAACAACTGCCGCTCCAACAACAACAACTGTCGCTCCAACCACAACAACTGCCGCTCCAACAACAACAACTGTCGCTCCATCCACAACAACAGCTGCTCCGACCACAACCACTGCGGCACCAACCACAACAACCGCTGCTACAACAACAACAACAGTTGCTCCAACCACAACATCTGCTGGTCCAACAACAACAACTGCTACAACAACAACAACAGTTGCTCCAACCACAACATCTGCTGCTCCAACAACAACAACAGCTGCTCCAACCACAACAACAGCTGCTCCAACCACAACTGCGGCACAAACCACAACAACTGCCGCTCCGACAACAACTGCTGCTCCAACCACAACTGCTGCTCCGACCACAACAACTGCTGCTCCAACAACAACAATTGCTGCTCCAACCACAACAACAGCTGCTACAACAACAACAACTGCTGCTCCAACCACGGCAACCACAGCTGCTCCAACCACGGCAACCACAGCTGCTCCAACCACAACAACTGCGGCACCAACCACAACAACTGCCGCTCCAACAACACCAACTGCCGCTCCAACCACAACAACAGCCGCTCCAACCACAACAACTGCCGCTCCAACAACAACCACAGCTGCTCCAACCACAACTGCTGCTCCAACAACAACAAAAGCTGCTGCAACCACAACAACTGCCGCTCCAACCACAACAACTGCTGCTCCAACAACAACAACAGCTGCTCCGACCACAACAACAGCTGCTCCGACCACAACCATTGCGGCACCAACCACAACAACAGCTGCTACAACAACAAACACGGCTTCTCCAACCACAACAACTGCTGCTCCAACAACAACAGCTGCTCCAACCACAACAACAGCTGCTCCAACCACAACAACTGCGGCACCAACCACAACAACAGTTGCTCCAACCACAACAACAGTTGCTCCAACCACAACTGCTGCTCCGACCACAACAACTGCTGCTCCAACAACAACAATTGCTGCTCCAACCACAACAACAGCTGCTACAACAACAACAACTGCTGCTCCAACCACAACCACAGCTGCTCCAACAACAACCACTGCTGCTCCAACCACAACAACTGCGTCTCCAACCACAACAACAGGCGCTCCAACCACAACAACTGCCGCCCCAACCACAACAACAGTTGCTCCAACCACAACAACTGCTGCTCCAACCACAACCACAGCTGCTCCAACAACTACAACTGCCGCTCCAACCACAACAACAACCGCTTCAACCACTATAGCTGCTGCTCCAACCACAACAACAGTTGCTCCAACAACTACAACTGCCGCTCCAACCACAACAACTGCCACTCAAACAACAACAACTGCTGCTCCAACCACGGCAACCACATCTGCTCCAACCACAACCACGGCTGCTCAAACAACAACCACAGCTGCTCCAACCACAACAACTGCGTCTCCAACCACAACAACAGGCGCTCCAACCACAACAACTGCCGCCCCAACCACAACAACAGTTGCTCCAACCACAACAACTGCTGCTCCAACCACAACCACAGCTGCTCCAACAACTACAACTGCCGCTCCAACCACAACAACAACCGCTTCAACCACTATAACTGCTGCTCCAACCACAACAACTGCCGCTCCAACCACAACAACCACAGCTGCTCCAACAACTACAACTGCCGCTCCAACCACTACAACTGCCGCTCCAACCACTACAACTGCCGCTCCAACCACAACAACTGCGGCACCAACCACAACAACTGCTGCTCCAACCACAACAACAGTTGCTCCAACCACAACAACTGCTGCTCCAACAACAACAACAGTTGCTCCAACAACTACAACTGCCGCTCCAACCACAACAACAACCGCTTCAACCACTATAACTGCTGCTCCAACAACAACCACAGCTGCTCCAACCACAACAATAGCTGCTCCAATCACAACAACCACAGCTGCTCCAACCACAACAACAGCTGCTCCAACCACAACAACAGCTGCTCCAACCACAACAACTGCCGCTCCAACCACAACAACCACAGCTGCTCCAACAACTACAACTGCCGCTCCAACCACTACAACTGCCGCTCCAACCACATCAACTGCCGCTCCAACCACAACAACAGTTGCTCCAACCACAACAACTGCTGCTCCAACAACAACAACAGCTGCTCCAACCACAACAACAGCTGCGGGAACAACCACAACAACAGCTGCTCCAACAACAACAGCTGCTGCTCCAACCACAACAACAGCTGCTCCAATCACAACAACCACAGCTGCTCCAACAACAACCACAGCTGCTCCAACAACAACCACAGCTGCTCCAACAACAACAACAGCTGCTCCAACCACAACAACAGCTGCTCCAACAACAACAACTGCAGCTCCAACCACAACAACAGTTGCTCCAACAACTACAACTGTTGCTCCAACCACAACAACAACCGCTCCAACCACAACAACTGCCGCTCCAACCACAACAACTGCTGCTCCAACCACAACAACAGCTGCTCCAACAACAACAACTGCGGCACCAACCACAACAACTGCTGCTCCAACCACAACAACAGCCGCTCCAACAACAACAACAGCTGCTCCAACCACAACTGCTGCTCCAACAACAACAACTGCTGCTCCAACAACAACAACAGCTGCTCCAATCACAACAACCACAGCTGCTCCAACCACAACAACAGCTGCTCCAACCACATCAGCAGCTGTTCTAACAACTACAACGGCTGCTCCAACCACTACAACTGCTGCTCCAACAACCACAGCCTCTCCAACCACTACAACTGTTGCTCCAACCACAACAGCAGCTGCTCCAACCACAACAAACGCTGCTACAACAACAACAACTGCGGCACCAAGCACAACAACAGCGGCTCCAACCACAACAACAGTTGCTCCAACCACAACAATTGCGGCACCAACCACAACAACAGCTGCTCTAACAACAACAACAGCTGCTCCAACCAAAACAACTGCGTCTCCAACCACAACCACAGCTGCTCCAACCACAACAACAGCGGCACCAACCACAACAACTGCTGCTTCAACCACAACAACAGCTGCTTCAACCACAACAACTGCTGCGCCAACCACAACAACTGCTGCTCCACTCAAAACAACAGGTGCTCCAACTACAACAACTGCTGCTCCAACAACAACAACAGCTGCTCCGACCACAACAACAGCTGCTCCAATCACAACAACAGTTGTTCCAACCACAACAACTGCTGCTCCAACCACAACCACAGCTGTTCCAACCACAAAAACTGCTGCTCCAACAACAACAACAGCTTCTTCAACCACAACAACTGCTGCGCCAACCACAACAACTGCGGCGCCAACAACAACAACAACAGTTGCTCCAACCACTACAAAAACAGCTGCTCCAACAACAACCACAGCAGCTGCTCCAACCACAACAACTGCTGCTCCAACCACAACAACAGCTGCTCCAACCACAACAGCTTCTCCAACAACAACAACACCTGCTCCAACTACAACAACTGCGGCACCAACCACAACAACAGCAGCTCCAACAACTACAACTGCTGCTCCAACCACAACAACAACACCTGCTCCAACCAAAACAACAGTTGCTCCAACCACTACAACTGCTGCTCCAACAACAACCACAGCTGCTCCAACTACAACAACTGCGGCACCAACCACAACAACAGCAGCTCCAACAACTACAACTGCTGCTCCAACCACAACAACAGCTGCTCCAACAACAACAACTGCTGCTCCAAGCTCAACAACAGCCGTTCCAACCACTACAACTGCTGCTCCAATAACAACCACAGCTGCTCCAACCACAACAACAGCTGCTGCAACCACAACAACAGCTGCTCCAACCACAACAACTGCTGCTCCAACAACAACAGCCGCTCCAACCACAACAACAGCTGCTACAACTGCTACAACTGCAGCTCCAACAACAACAACAACAGCCGCTCCAACCACAACAACAGCTGCTCCAACCACAACACCAGCCGCTCCAACCACAACAACAGCTGCTCCAACCACATCAGCAGCTATTCTAACAACTACAACGGCTGCTCCAACCACTACAACTGCTGCTCCAACAACCACAGCCTCTCCAACCACTACAACTGTTGCTCCAACCACAACAGCAGCTGCTCCAACCACAACAAACGCTGCTACAACAACAACAACTGCGGCACCAAGCACAACAACAGCGGCTCCAACCACAACAACAGCTGCTCTAACAACAACAACAGCTGCTCCAACCAAAACAACTGCGTCTCCAACCACAACCACAGCTGCTACAACCACAACAACTGCTGCTACAACAACAACAACAGCTGCTTCAACCACAACAACAGCTGCTTCAACCACAACAACTGCTGCTCCAATCAAAACAACTGCTGCTCCAATCAAAACAACAGCTGCTCCAACCACAACAACTGCTGCTTCAACAACAACAGCAGCTGCTCCAACAACAACAGCAGCTGCTCCAATCACAACAACAGTTGTTCCAACCACAACAACTGCTGCGCCAACCACAACAACTGCGGCGCCAACAGCAACAACAGTTGCTCCAACCACTACAACTGCTGCTCCAACCACAACCACAGCTGCTCCAACAACAAAAACAGCTGCTCCAACAACAACAACAGCTGCTCCAACCACAACAGCTTCTCCAACAACAACAACACCTGCTCCAACCAAAACAACAGTTGCTCCAACCACTACAACTGCTGCTCCAACAACAACTGCTGCTCCAAGCACAACAACAGCCTTTCCAACCACTACAACTGCTGCTCCAATAACAACCACAGCTGCTCCAACCACAACAACTGCTGCTGCAACCACAACAACAGCTGCTCCAACCACAACAACAGCAGCTGCTCCAACCACAACAACTGCTGCTCCAACCACTACAACTGCTGCTCCAACAACAACCACAGCTGCTCCAACCACAACAACTGCGGCACCAACCACAACCACAGCTGCTCCAACAACTACAACTGCTGCTCCAACAACAACTGCGGCACCAACCACAACCACAGCTGCTCCAACAACTACAACTGCTGCTCCAACAACAGCTGCTCCAACCACAACACCAGCAGCTGCTCCAACCAAAACAACAGTTGCTCCAACCACTACAACTGCTGCCCCAACAACAACCACAGCTGCTCCTACTACAACAACTGCTGCTCCAACAACAACAACCACAGCTCCAACCACAACAACTGTGGCACCAACCACAACAACTGTGGCACCAACCACAACAACAGCCGCTCCAACCACAACAACTGCCGCTCCAACCACAACAACAGCAGCTGCTCCAGCCACAACAACAGCAGCTGCTCAAGCCACAACAACAGCCGCTCCTACAACAACAGCAGCCGCTCCAACCACAACAACAGCAGCCGCTCCAATTACAACAACTGCAGCCGCTCCAACCACAACAACTGTGGCACCAACCACAACAACAACCACTCCAATCACAACTTCAGTGGCAACAACAACAACATCAGCGGCTTCTCCAACCACAACAGCATTTTCTCCATCCACAACAACAGCTGCTCCAACCACAACAACTGTGACACCAACCACAACAACAGTTGCTACAACAACTATACCTGCTGCTCAAACAGCAACCGTTCCAACCACAACAACTGCTGCTACCACAACATCAGCTGCTGCTCCTACAACAGCTACCCCAACCACAACAACAGCTGCTACAACCACAACAACTGTGGCACCAACCACAACAACAGCTGCTCCAATCACAACTACAGTGGCAACAACAACAACAGCTGCTCCAACCACAACAACAACAACAGTTGCTCCAACCATAACAGTTGCTACAACAAAAACAACAACAACAGTTGCTCCAACCATAACAACTGCTGCTCCAACAACAACCACAGCAGCTCCAGCAACAACAGCTACTCCAACCATGACAACAGCTGCTCCAATCACAACTACAGTGGCAACAACAACAACAACAGCTGCTCCAATCACAACTACAGTGGCAACAACAACAACAACTGCTGCTCCAACCACTACAACTGCTGCTCCAACAACAACAACAACAACAGTTGCTCCAACCACAAAGACTGCTGCTCCAACAACAATAACTGCAGCTCCACCACCACCAACAGCTGCTCCAACCATGACAACAGCTGCAACAACAACCACTAAAATGCCTTCAACAGCTATAACATCCACGACGACAACAAGTCACGCATCCTCTGTCAGAATTAATGTAATCCCTCTATTAGTGGCACTCTTTGTCTTTACCATCTATTAAATGGTAAATCATGGATGGAAACCCCATAAAAACACTAAAACTGTGAAAGGATGATTTTTTTGTTTTATCTTACTGTTTACTTCTTCTTTTCCTGTTTAGTTGGGATTTAAGTTTCATTCACTTCAGATGTAAGTAAAAGGTTAAACCTGCTGGGTAAACCTTAGCATGGATAACTATTTAACAAACAATTACCCTTGTGACTTATAAAGTGTAATATCTATTTAATATTTACCCACAAATATATTTATCTATTTATTAAACTCATTATACAAATGTCTTGAAAAAATGTAATAGTGCAATAATAGGAACAGAAATATACATACAGAAATAGACAACCAAACTAGTTACTTGGGATTTTTGTTATATGTGATTCACTGACAGCATTTCTAAAACTAGTCACTGTAATTACACCAAAAAAAAGCCAAAGGATTACAACTATGACCATGATAAAGTTTTCAACAGACAGTATGATGGGATTAGTTTTTTTGCTTTGGAAATATCCCATTGATGGCAAGGGGAATAAAGAAAGCTATGGCAGTATATTTGTTTTGTATAATGTTATGATTGTCACAACTGTCACTTGTTTTCTTGAATTTTCTCAATCATATTGATGGTAACACATGGCCCCACTTTTAACATTTATAAAATTACAGAATATATTAACCATATGTTATTTAAGATGAGATACTCTGGTTTCCCCTAAATGTAGACTTTTACTCTCTTCACCCTAATAAAACTATTAATGCAACCAATTGTTTTTCTACATGAATTACCGTACCTATAAGATATTTCAAAGTTTCTTTAATGAAGTGATATATTTCACACTATTCAACAATATTTCATTATTAAGAAAGTTAATGTTTTTTGCTGGCTTTTCTAACTACCAGTACATTTCCCTAATAGATATACATATTTTGATAATTGAAAAGGAAGGGGGATGTGTTGAATTATATATTCTTTTTAAACGAATATAATCTCTGTTTCTAGTTATCAGGTTTCAGTTATGTTGTCCTCGGATCTTTAGTGGTTCTAACAGGCACTAACTATTTGTTTCTTTTTATAAAGTCGAAAGGGCTTGGAGTGGTTGATAAGATTGGAAATAAGCTTCCTAAATGCTTATCGATCACATAGTAGTATATCATGTCACAAGAACCAAAATTAATTGTTGTAATGGAAGTAATAACTAATATGAATTTAGGCAGGTTTGCAACCAAGCAGAAAAGTCTTTCAACATCCCAGATAAATAAATATGAAATCACCACACTTGGAGAATGTTCATTTAGCTTTTTTTACTTCAGAATTTGAATGGCTTCCCCCTTTTTAAAATTAAGTACATAAAACTTTATGTAATGTTACGATATAAATATGTATTTTTAATGCTTATTTTCTGATTATATTGCCTTTTGTACTTTGTAATAGAGGCATAAGAAACAACTAGGTCAGAGGGTGACAGGTCGATCTGGCAACAGACTTTAGAAAGGGGAAGTAAAGAAAGGGGAAGTTTAGTGCAGAGCTGCACAGGAAACCAGACACAAGCTGCAGAAAATTCAGACCTGAGCATGTGTGTTCTGTCTCCATTTCCAGAAATGTAAAAAATAAAGATTTTTTTGAGCTTTACCACTCTGAGTTCAGTCTTTCTCTTTCGCCAAAAGAATTCAAAAGAACGTGATTTAATAGTAATCATTTGATAATTTAAACATTATGGAAACCAAAAAGGAGACTCCGCTGGAGAGAGGTCAGCAGCTGATGGATGTATGGCTTCGACAAAGAAAAGGTCATTAGCAATAGGCCACAAAGGAGGTGGAACTCTTCTGAATCTGGAGAAGGAAAATTCAGTGATGCAAGCTCTGACAAAGTGTCTGGTGACTTAGGGGCAGACTCCCTAAAACATTCATAGAACATACAATTTAATGTTAGTAGCTCTTGAAAGGTGTGAGGAACCTAAAAACACAGAAAAAAAAATACAAAATACAATCCTGTCTTTGTGTTTGAAAGGCAAGCACAATCATAGCCCCTCTCATTTGCTGTCATGTTATTAACTGTTATTTTTAACTGCAATTTTTGTTTTATGTTACTTTAAACCAGTAGTTTTGTAAATAAATCACATTTTTTAAATAAAGCTTATCATGGTGAAGGGGTTTGTGTGTCCCAGGGATCACAGGGGCTATGTTGGCAGGGGGCTTTTGCCCCCTTGGTAGGGTCTCCCATGGCAAATTGGCCCTGGGTAAGGGACCAGACAAAGAGCGATTCAGAAATCCCCTATGAGAAGACCATTGAGGGGACCGTTCACCCAATGGCATGTCCAGCGTGCTGGCCTGGGGGGTGCACAGGCCACCCCCCCAACCAGACTGGCCACCCCAGGTGCCACCCCGAAGCTAAAACAATAAAATTCAATTAAATATCAAATGTACAATTACGTTTTCGTAGTGAAGCTCAGATATCCGAGTGTAAGTGAATGCAGCATCGGCAAAGGAAGGAGAAAGACGGCACCACAGAAAGCTATTTTCCAGCGAAAGAATATGGAGAATAAATGTCCTGGTAAGTAATATTAAGTTTGTTGAGTTTAGTAAACTTCGGTGAAATTAGAATACCAAGGAAAAAATAACACTTAAAGAATTATTGCAACCGCCGAATATTTCAGTAGGCTACTGGGGGGAGCTAGCATAAGAGTTATTAGTTATAAGATATAATCCAAGTCGTAACATTGCTGTGTGGAGCTGCAGATTTGGTTGCAGGTTAATACTGGCAGTGTCGCCATGCCAGCTGACTGCATTTCATCATCAGCCAGTGTTGTTCTTTATACATCAATATTACCAAAGTTTGTGCCATGTTCAATGTAGGGATGTGCAGTTCTGGTCCTCCTGGTTTCAGATGTTTCCATACTTCAACACAGCTGATTTAAAGAATCATTTACAGACTTGTGCACAACTAGGTGTTTGGGGATTATTTGGTGACAGGTGACAGATCAGTGGAGGCACGGGGTCTGTTGGCACAAATTGACCTCACATTTATTGGCAATTTATCCACATTTAGAAAAATTCTAGGGGAAATTAAGTTGCTTTCTGATGTACTTCAGTCTCCATCTCTTGATCTAGCAAAGGCTGTAGACCTAATTCATGCACTTCAAGACACCTTGGACCAATATAGAAGTGAATCCTGTTTTGATGAGCTGTGGCAAGACGCAATGGATATTGCAGAACAGTGTACTGTTGCCTCTGAGACAGTTAAGAGAAGGATGCAGAGAGAGAGCCTCAGGCTAAAGGGTTATTTTGTAGATTCTCCAATCGGGCAACACAGGTGTAAGGAGGATGACAAGGACAAGTTTAAGAGGGAAGTATTTTACCCCATTCTTAACCATGTACATGCAGAGATGGAGAAGCGCTTCAACAAGACCAATTGTGATATTATGCGGGGTATACAGGCACTAAACCCCAAGAGTAAGAGCTTTTTGTCAGAGGAAATAGTTGTAAGCTTGGCTGGTCTGTATGACTGTGATATTGAAGACCTCAAACATGAGCTGTATCAAGCTAGAAAGGTTGTTCAAAGGAGAGCAGGGTGTGGGAATGAACTCTCCAGTATTTTGGGGTTTACTACCTTCCTAGAGCCTTACAAAGAGGTGTTTCATCAGCTTTTTCATTTATGTCGAATAGCTTTAGCTTTACCTGTCAGCAGTGCTACTTGTGAAC